ACTTTTGGTGGTCATATCTCATGAAAAAGGGGATCATGCATTGAAATACATTGAGATGAAGCTCCCAATTTCCCTTTCTTTGGGCTATGGTGAAGCGTATCAAGATTTGGACCATGTCCATGTATTACTACCAGAATGAAAAGTAATCCTTGTCTTCCTTGTTCAGCTCTATGAAGGATTGTAATTCTGATTTACAAGAGTCATCCGAGATCACATCAATCAGTTGCTTTATTTGATTTCCAGATCCAATGTTATGGTTAATGTCATTCTGAATCTTTTTTGAATTTCCCATATATGGTCCTATTGGATTTAAATTTCAAAAATTGCTACTCTGCAAAAACTCTCATTAACTGAAACATCCCACTAATTCAAAATGTTGTCAAAGTGAGTATACGCCATTTGTCAAGAATTTGCCAAGAGTAACACAGAAAGGTTAATGGGGACAGTGGGGGGGGGGGGGATTTTTTAATATGACTTAACATTGTTCAGGGAAGAAAACTCCATAAAAAAGAAGATTTGTATGAATCATTGGTACTTTTGCTCTCACGTCATGCAATTGTCAGGCTGCTTAGAATGAAATTAGCCTTGTCTTCCTAGTTCAGCTCTATGAAGAATTGTAATTCTGATTCAGATCCAGTGTTGAGGTTAATGTCATTCTGAATCTTTTTTGAATTTATCATAGAGGGTTATATTGAATACTTCAATTTTAGACCTAGTATATTAAGTATATTCAATGATTAGACCTGTTAGGTGGTTCAAATCTGCAGAAAAACTAGTCAGAATATGTCATATATCAAACCTCCGAGCTATGAGACAATAGTAGGTACCAATATACTCTAAGCCTGGAATTAATAAGGGTGTTCTAATAGTCTATCTTAATACTGTCCGTTTAGGCCTTTATTTGTAATGGTTTTCAATGATTAAGCCTCTTAGAGGGTTAAAATCACAAGAAAGTCAGCTTGGAATATGTCATGCATCAAACAACTAATCTATGAAATCATAGCTAGTTCAATTATGCTCATACCAGTAGAATGATACTAATGGTATACATGAATTTAATCGATTGCAGACCTATGATTTAAGAATGAATTTTCAATGATAACACTTAAAAGATTGTTCAAACCACCAGAAAGCCAAGCCAGGATATATCATACATCATTTCTCTAAGCTAGAAAACTAATATTGGTACAAATATGTTCATAAATAAGAAAATATAAGAGTCTTCCAAGGGTATACGTATAACATATTTCATGAATTTTTAATAGTTGAACATGATAAAAAGCTTTGCTAAAACTTTGCTAAAATAAGTTTTATATTTTAGATTTATTCTAAAATGCTAAATATATGAACACAGAGGGATAAATGTTAAAGCAATAGGGGTCAGTTATAGTCACACATAAAATCAGTCCCAGCTAAAATGTCATTTTTTCTTAAATTCACTAATTTTTTTCAAGGCAATTATCAAAGGAATTACTTTGATTCTTGCAGGATTAGTAGAGCAGGTATTATGCCTTTTACATGGATTTTTTTAGCATCCATCATTGTCTAATAAAAAAGTTATGACACGAAAAGTAAAAAATGGGTCATAAATTTGCCCCCTGGGGTACATACTTTTTGCTTTTATTCAAATTTCTTAAGTGTAATCCGTATCATTCATACTTCAAATGTTTATTTTATACAATGTCCATGTATTTCACTTACAAAAACCATAAAATCAAAGTTATTTTAGGTTGAAGAATTTTTTCCCCCTGATAGGGGTGAATTTTGGGGGTAGGGGGACTAACATGGTATTTTAAGGGTTAAATAATCATATTTCAGCTTGCCAACATGGTTTTTTGGATTCAGCATAAAAAGTTACATAAGAAACACTTGTCAGAACACTTTTAACACTAAACGCCTACCACATTTTACAGAGAGACCTTTTGCAGAAAAGCACCCGGTCTAATTTGCTAAATTGTCTACTCGACAAAAATATGATTTAATTGTCCAAGCTTTACAAAAGTTTATGGTTTCAAATTCAATAATTTTTTAATGAACCTCTTATTGAAATAACACAGGTGGTTCAGTGAGATGGTCAAAATTACTTTAACGCTCCGTATCGCTAATTTTAACAACATAAGCGAGACATTTAGCATGTAAAATGTAAAATCATTCAATTTTCTACTTAGAAAGTATTTTTAATAAATGTTTTGCTGAATAGATATTCAAAAATCTGAGTTGCCCCTAAGCCACCATTCCCCATTTGTTTAACATGGGATCTGCCATTTTTGTTACATTTCATGAAATTCATCAATTTTGACATCAAATTTTGACCCAATGTAATGGAGATATAACATTGAAACGTTGCGGACTTTATAGGGAATAGAATCAAGATACAGATTTATTTTCTTTATTGGGATTTCTTTTGTTCCCCGCTTAGAAAATAGTCGTTAAACAAATGTGGGGGTTAACATGTAAACCTATGAGGTCCTTAAAGGGTTCCAATTAGCATCCCGTATAAAAACAATATGGCGGCTCCAGGCGAATCAACTGGATCAGTCCATTTTAAAGAAATAAGGGGAGTTCTGTAAAATCCAGTTTATTGAAATTGTCTTTGAGATAAAGTAATCCGTTTATAATGATTTTGAAAACGTTATCCAAAGAGTGATTGCGTTCAAAGAATACATGTACAACAGCCAATATAAATCCTTGTATTAGAAACCGATTTGTCTTGCTTTGTTTCATTTGTAGGATATTTCATATGCCAAGCTGTGTGCTATTACGTTATGGGGAAATTTAGATGCCAATTTTTCCTTATTGTACACAAATAGAAGATCCTGAAACTTCACCCATAAATGTGGAATTGATTTGTCAAAATAAAAATCAACCTTTTATAAATGTGTGACGATCTGTAATATACTTATGCTATATAACAGTTAGAGGTGTTGACACAACGACCTAGAACCTGTGAACTCTTGAGTATTATTCCGGGATCGGGCCTTTTATACTAACACCCCAGTCACATTTCCTACGGCGACCTTGCGGTCTATCATTTCTGCGGCGAGTAGCTTTTCTACGCTCGCCGCAGAATTTCTGCGCTCTCATACTTTTGCAGTCACATTTCCCACGGCAGCCGCACGGTGAATTTTAAATTTATATTGATAAATAATAGTTTTTTTTCATTTTATTTACATCAGGACAATTTATAAATGTTATTCAAAGTGCTAGGATATAATATCAAATGAAAAGTGATCGTGAAACATTGACAAGTAATGATTCAATCTTGTTGAGCCAGTTGATTTCTACGGGGACCTCAGAAATGAACAAATATTATAACTCCGAGTTATAATTTCTACGCCTTCCCTGCGGCCTGTAAAAATCTGCATACGCCGTACGGAGGCCGCAAGGCGAGCGTAGTTTTTCTACGCTCGCCGCAGAAATTCACCGATTTAATTGTTCTGCGGTCGACTTGCGGCCGCCTTGCGACAAATGTGACTGGGGTGTAAACGGTGAGCAACACCAGAAACGAGCGTTCGATTTGCTAAACGATATGAGGAGTATATACGGGTGTCTCAAAAAAATGTACCCAAAAGTATGTGAAGAGCACACTGATAAACCAATCAATATTTTCAGACATTTTTTGCATGGTCATGTAGCCAAAACATGAAAGTTATCTCCCCAATACACCATTTTTATTTCAGTCTTGTCTTTTTGATGCTTTAACGCTTTACCTTTTACACCACATAATTGATGTAACCTCATAATTCGATGACAGCCTGTATCCTTACTGCTACATTGTTCATCACATTTGATAATAATTCTGGTGGAATGTTTTGGATTTCTCTTTTGATGTTGCCCTTAAGTTGTTCTAGGTCTTTTTGCTTGGAATGAGCATTAAAACACTCCTTCAAATAGCCACAGAGAAAGATGTTTGAGGATGACGAAGGCAGAACAAACACAGATAATCAGGTCAATTATCGTCAAATGATTCAGGAGTTACCTTCCCGAGTTAGGCAGGCTAGCTTGGAGACCAAATCATATCCAAATGAAAACACAGTGGTCTCAAATCGATACACAAACAAAAGCTACATTAGAATCTCAAGCAATGTAGTTTCTTGAACCTCTGACCTCACTGTATAAGGGGGCTATAAGACATCGTGAGGGCCTCCCTATTCACCATATTTGACGGCCCATACTTTTTTCTCTATTTGGCTATTTGAAGGACCATTTTTATGCTAAACCCAAGCTAAGAGACCTAGAACAACTTAAGACCAGCATCCGAACAGAAAACAAAGCATTCCACCAGATATATCAAATGTGATGAACAATGCAGTAGTAAGGATGCAGACTGTCATCGAAATATGAGGTTACATTGAATATGTGGTGTAAAGGGTAACGGGTTAAAGTATCAAAAGGGCAAAACTGAATTAAAAACTGTGTACAGGGGAAAAAACTTTCATCTTTTATCTACAAGACCATGCAAAAAATGTCTGAAAATATTGATTGGTTTGTCTATGGTTTTGATATACTTTTGGGTACATTTTTTGAGACACCCTATATACGACACCTTAGGCCTAAGATCGGGTATAAAAGGAAACCATTTATTAATGAAACCTTAGGCCTAAAGTCAGTTAAATATCGAAGTGTGGTATTTGACCCTTGATGAACCATGTTTAAATGAACTGAAATCAAGGTCATTCCAAGGTCAAAGGTGGATTTCTTAATATTTGGCATTTTTATGCGTTTGGGCTGTTGTGGCCCTTGGTGACCCATGGTAAGGTGGCCTGGGGTCAAGGTTAATATTTATGGGTTAATGTCAATGGCATTTGACTCTAGATGAACCATGTTTAAGTGACCTAAAATCAAGGTCATTCCAAGGTCAAAGGTCGATTTCTTGATATTTGACATTTTTATGCATTTGGGCTGTTGTGTTGTGTTTTGCTCAAAATTACTTTTTGTTTTACACCACAGGGTTCGATTCGGGAAACACATTATTGCGACAGAAGTAATCCACATAGTTGCTCAGGCAGATTTTTTATTTTGATCAATCCAGATATTCATGAAATGATAAACCTTAGAGAATCTTTTGCTGGCTTTGAAGAAAAAAGACGAAGATTGTTCACTATTAAAGTATCCAATGTTTAGTATTTGTCTCTTGTCGGTTAAGCTGTATCATCATCGTCCTTTGACTCATCAAGGAACAGTGTCGGCGTTATCTCCATTGGATTAATAACTTCCCCTTCAAACAAAACAAACGATATTGAAAGCAGCGTATACTAGTAATATGTAGATCGTGCAAATATTATACAAACAGTGACTGCCCAATTTTAGGGAAATTGTGCAAACTATTTCAATTGTGGAAAGAATATTTCTACAGGGGAACTTAGTTTGCACAATTTTCCGAAAATTTGCCTGTCACCTTTTGTCTTATTACATTCCCACATGCATTTCAAAATAAAATAGTTAAAAATCTTCCAAAGCAGCTCCGATTATTTCTGGAGAGTTCGAGTTCGCATCACTGTTGGTTTGTAACGTTGATATTGCCTGTATTCTACGAATGCATGAGTTTAGGACTTCCTGGACAGGAAATTAGTCCATCTATTTCATATCACATGACTACGATTTGGCCAATAAGCGTGCAGAATATATATGGACTATGCAATAAATTCATTAATTATTTTCATGCTGTTATACTCGTTATTTCATTGGTCAATTAGATATTATGTGACTAAAATAAATAGCATTATTCCATCCATATGCCAAAATAATTCATTCATCATTGAATATCAGGAGTTATTATAATGCTAAGGGACACGGTAGCTCTGTTTGAGAACGATGTGTTTCTGAATTTCAAAATGGCCGCCATTTTTCGTTGAAGAACGTAATCTCTGTCAGTTTTGGCTAGATTCATATATTTGCCACAGAATGAACACATTAAACCAGAAAAGTATGCACGCAGCTTGACATGAGCACCGTGAACAGGCAGTGATATGATAAATCAAATAGTAGATACGTTCTACGTATTCTACCCCCGATGAACGCCTGTGACACTTTCACTTGTGAAAAATGCAGAGGTATTCACCTTAATAGATTGAAATATGTGTATATAATACATCAGGTATTCGTTTTTTGCGTATACCTGCAGTTTCCTGAGTGTCAATGTGTGGGAAGTGTACCTCGTCTCGTGTCATTGACACAGATGTCGCTAAACTCGGTAGTGTTCGCAGTTTTGGTAGAGCAGTGAGACTCGACAAAGTGATGTTTGGGACAATATTATGTGAAACCGGCACGGGTATGGATATGTTGTGGAAGTTCATCACCAGTGGGGGAATTAGATGTCCGGTTACTGGGTCTGAAATATGCAACAATTTTTAAAATGTTGGTAATACGGTTATACGAAACAGGTGTCCTTTTAGTGAATCTTAAATGCGGGACAGTTATTGAAATGTTGGTTAAGGTGTTTTATGCATTTCATGGAGATCATGAGAAATCATAGACTTCGTAGACTTAGCTTATTTCTAGTTGAAGGCAGAAATAATTGATAAGTATCAGAATGATACATGGATGCGTTGCTTTGAGGTAAGGTACATGAAGATTTGTAAAATGGTGTATTTTGAACAATGGGCGGGATATTGCTTTACGATTCGACTACTAGTCCATGGTATGAACTCTCTAGGACGTCTAATAAAGGAGTTGGTAGCACACTATAGCGCAGCAATATTTGACCTTATATTAACATACCTACATATGTCCCCTAATAATTTTTATTATAACCGTTCAATATACTTCCGGCTTTTAGACTGAATTAGGCCTGCCATTAACAGAGGTCACAAAATCACCAAAAAATAAAATCCCAATTTTTCACAATTTGGAGTACACAATGCAAAAGAAAATAATACAAAATGATTTTAAATATATGATTTAGGTTTCTAAGCTATAAGTTTGAGGTTATTTTTCTTATCAATATCAAAAAATATGTAATCAGTGTATCGACGTTTTGTGTTGTTTCTCAGGTATTAATAAGAGAAATGCTACAAATGAATCACTTTTATATTGGAATGACAAATGTTTAAATTATGCTAGTTTTTAACAAAAAGGGGTCTCAATACGTTTTGAGATGGACTTTTATTCAGCGGTGAAAATTATCAATAAAGGCGGGCTTATTGCTCTTCCTTGACTAATTGGGACTACAGCTAAAATTATATTTCACGTAGTTATATATAGCTCAGTTGCTTCTAAAACAACCATCAAGACTTGATCGAATTCATGAATAATTGAGAAACATCGTTATCATTATCTTCCTAAAATTTGATTGCATCCAGCGGTAAGGTCAAAGAACAAACAGCCATCGGAAAACTTGATGATAGCCACAAGTAACGTCGAGGAAGAATTTCAAGACATTCGATTGCATATGACTCTAATTGATTATTAGACGTGCCCTTGGAATATATGAACATTCCAATACCTCTGTAACATTTAATTAGATATAAATCTTACCTCTTTGTTATTGTATTATGTTTTGTAAAACATGAACAATAATTTGTTGTTAGACCCCTTGCGATTATATGTAAAAATTCTGGTAATAAAATGTTTTAAATGGTAGGAAAACTAATATGTTCCCAATCATAAATTACCTAAATATTCCACATAATTTTGTTGAATTGGCTTGGTTCATATTGGAAAAATCAAACAAAATCTGAAAAACACACTTGCATAATTACACTAATTAAACATTGACATCTACGGTAAAATTAAACAGTTTATTTTTAAATTATGATAATTTATTTTTGTTCGTATGCTAAGAATAACGGTCTGTGTCTTATAAAATGTATAAAAGTTCGAATCAAAATACTTACGTTTTTTGACCCCTTGTGATGAAAGACATTTTTCGACCCGAAAGCCGGAAGTTTTTTCAGCAAATGGTATTTTAAAAGAATCAAGACATGTACACCTTCATAAATATTGCTTCAAATGTTGCTGCGCTATAGTGTGCTACGGATCTTTCAAATTCGGAAGTCATACCATGGACTATACTGGGTGAAAGTGGAACCGATGTAAACGAGTGTAGCCGCTCCACATAACCGATGAAGATCAGTTTTCTGTCCAACAAAACGTATTTATTTGACACATATAATATGTATAAGTAAAGCTATGCATTCCTTATCAACATTCTAAATGAATAACACCCCAGTCACATTTCCTACGTCGACCGTGCGGTCTATCATTTCTGCGGTCAGTAACATTTCTACGCTCGCCGTGGAATTTCTGCGGTCGGATACGTTTGCAGTCACATTTCCTACGGCAGCCACACAGCGAGTTTTTTTTTATTTCTGTTGATTTAAAGTGTCTCACATATTCGATCAAAATTTGCCATGCAAACAAGTTAGTCTACTTTACTGGCCCCCCTTGCTGTAACAAGGAACCCAAAACACATTAAAACGTAAACATAAACCAATTAGTCACTTCACTATGAAAGTGGGGGTGTTAGCAAATGAGTATTACCAGAATACGCTGTGTGCATGAACTCACACAATATCAGTGGTCATTTACTGTATCAACTTAGTAACCCTTGCATATCGTGCTCACTCAAGTATTGAATTTTTTTTTATGATCTAAATGTTTGTGGTTTATTAAAAATGTGATATATTTTAGTTAGAAATACATTAATTAATATATTCATTCAAACAGCACTAGAATGCGGGAAGAAAGAGCAATGGTGACAAAATGCAGACAGAATTTTCCGTAAGGGTTTCAAACATTTCTGGACACAATCATACATGTACTGTATGTGTTATTTTTAGTGCTGTATTTATAGATATAATTTTACGTATTAAAATCATATTTTCCAGCAATGACTTCAAATCCGGAACCACACCCATATCACATTTTCTTCAATAACTCCAAATATGTGTAAACATTGACCATGTGCATATAAATTCAGATTTCACGAGCTCTTTTCTATTCGAGTACCTCATACACCCCTGCATGGATTTGAGTTGGATTCGCCTTTTATACGTGAGCCGACACACTCGCAAACGCTGATTGGATAAAGATTGCGAGAATCTTTAAGGTCAATTCTTCTTTTTATTTTATCTTCATCAGTACAATTTATAAATGTTGTTTGTAGTGTTAGGATATAGTATCGAATAAAAAGTACAAGTGAAATAGTATCAGTGACCTTACATCAAACAGTATACGTATTGTGTTGTTTTCAGCAAATATATATGACCATAAGTAAACCATTGTCACTAGTTATGTCCCTTGTCCTCCTCTGACTCCGCCACGATGAGCAGAAGGTTGTGGTCTGCTGGTATTTGCGTCAGGTGCACTGGCCCTGTTAAGACGGTGCTGTATAATCGTATCACTGACCTCACTGCCAACGCTAAATAGGACAATGTCCCCATTCCTTAGCCTCCCAAGGATTTTCCCGTTTGTTGACCACTGTTGTTCTATATCGAGGTGCTCATTGACCTCTTGTAGTAACTTTCTGTTCATTGGACTCAGGTCCTCATACACGATAATGTTCGATCCCTTAAGCTTTTTCCTGTTGATATTATCCTTTCGAGTTTCATTCCATTTAAGTTTGGCGAATACTGGTCTCGGATATCTATCATCCTGTTTGTAAGGCCTTAGTCTGTGACTGACCTCTATGTCATCTGGGGTAATAACACCAGGCATGTATGGCAAGATGGCTTCACAAATGGATTCATTACAGTTTTTTTTATAGGTTATGTTTTATTTATCAATACTATCATTTCACAATGTCCGACAATGGGCCAAGGCCATTGGCATTAGTGGCCCATGTCGATTTTCACACATACACATTTATACAATTTCTAAAATAGAGTTAAGTAGCTGCTGAACACTCAGCATGACAATACATGTAAGTTACCTGTGACATTTTACACCAAATATATAAAGTTAAACATAGTCTACAATTAAAGAAATAAAGTTGGCAGTTGTTGTGACTATAAGCTTGTTAGTTTCAATTTTATATGTTGAGCCACCATATAACAATGTATCTAGTTTCTCTTTTGCATTTAGTTTGTTATAATGGTTAATGTTGAAATTGGGTATCCCTGCAAGGTCGAGTGCTAGTTGTTCCCTGAGATCAAGTAAAAGGGGGCAAGAAAAGAACAGTTTTCATTGTCTCTATCAGCCTTTGTTTCTTTTTCAGGGATTCCGAGGAATCTCACCGTGTTTTTTCTTGAGTATTGAGCATTGTGGTCAACGTCCAATACTAATTTATCCAATTTTGTTGTTAGGTTAAGGACTTCAGTCTTCAATTTAGTATTCTCACTTTCAATATTCGAGAGTCTAACATTCGACTTTTCCAGAGCTTAACACCCCAGTCACATTTCCCACGGCTGCCGTGCGGTCAATACCCTTTGCATTCGTTTGACTTCACTTCTTAAAAGAGAGCTTCGTCTTCACTCTTTCAAACTAAAATAAACCTGTGAACTCACCGCGCCAATCAGTGTTCGTCGGCCAAATTTGACCGACGTTCTATATATGGGCATTCCTTCTGATGTCATCGTTGAGCCCGGAATTGACCAATGACATGCGCATATTTAATTATAACGCATTTGGCGTATGTTTCTTCAAGCTTGCTGATTGGTGGAAGAAAGGTCAGCACGTAGGTCAGAAGTGCTTTAGTACCCAAACTGTCACCGGTAACCGTCCTGAGGGCGGGGCTACTAAACTGTAATATGGTCTCTACTAGGCAGAGTGTAGTTTAACTAGACTCTGCACGCAGGGTATGCGGTCAATCATTTCTGCGGCCAGTAGCTTTTCTACGCTCGCCGCAGAATTTCTGCGCTCTCATACTTTTGCAGTCACATTTCCCACGGCGGCCGCAGAGTGAATTTTAAATTTCTGTTGATAAATAATAGTTTTTTCATTTTATTTACATCAGGACAATTTATAAATGTTATTCATAGTGCTAGGATGTAATATCAAAGAAAAGTGATCGTGAAACATTGACAAATAATGATTCAATCTTGTTGAGCCAGTTGGTTTCTACCTCAGAAATAAACAAATATCATAACTCCGAGTTATAATTTCTACGGCGACCCAGCGGCCTGTAAAAAACTAGATACGCTGTACGGAGGCCGCAAGGCGAGCGTAGTTTTCGTACGCTCGCCGCAGAAACACACTGGTTTAATTGATCTGCGGTCGACGCACGCCCTCCGTACGACAAATGTGACTGGGGTGTTAGTCACTGCCTTATCGATACTTTGTTCCATTTTGTGATCAATAGATCGCATCAGCTGGTCCATATAGTTCATCATCCAGCCTTGGGTCACCGGTGCTGCTGTATTATCAGATTTCAACATTACTGGGGTGTCAGAACTTACCAACATTTGTAGTTTCTACGTGTTTCTCTTTCTTTGTTGATGGTTCACCATCGTAGTGTGTGGTCTTCATACGGTATTGCCCTGGTCACATTAACTCATTTTCTCTACGGCGCCAGGCCGATTGAGTATTTTTTAAAATTAAACTGAATACAACATATTGAGCAAAACACTCAATCGGGCGGGCTTCATATATAAGAGGCGAAGCATCGTAAGCTGGGGATGGAGCATCATATATTGGAGGCGGAACATCGTAAGCTGGGGGTGGAGCATCATATGCTAAGGGTCGGACACCATTTTCAGCAGACAAAGTATCATATGCAGGAGGCTTGGGCATATGTAGTGTTTTACCAAAATTAATGGTCGATGTGTCTCCCTTGGCCATGTTAACAGCAGCAATTCTTTCCAGACATGACCTTAAATGCACTTCAAATAGGGGTATGGCACTTTGTAATGCCCATAAAACCTTTTTGAGGCATTTTAGAAGAATTTCCTTGGAGTATCTACCCTCACTAACCTCTTTTTACAACTCAATACCCTATCAATCATCTGACAAACAGCTGCTTCAGCTTCCGACACACAAGGCTACAACTACTCACTACATATTATGCCATATCCCAAAACATACGATCATATACATGTACCTGTGTTTCCATATATGTCTACACCCCAATATATATCAAAAACTACCCGCAACTAATTGCCTGATCAGCCTCCTAAATATGATTTTTATTTCCTGAAAATGGTTTCCGACCTTTGGCATATGATGATGCTCCGCCTCCGACTTATGATGCTCCGCCTTAAACATATGCTGCTGCTCAAAGTGTTGATGTTTCACCTCCACTATTGATGCTACAACTGACTAGAAAATAACAAATCCGCGGAGTAGAAAGTCCCATCGAGACTTATTTTTATTAAATACCTTAACATTTTAGACATTACATGATAAAAATAGGAAATAGTAGTTCTTTATCCTTTCGTGAAACCTTTCTATCAAATTCAATTAGCAGAGGTCTAATTACCATCGGATATTATATAAAAATTGAACCAAATCTGGTAACTCGCAAATTATCTGTCTTATCACATAGTCATATTTTTCTTGAGAAAGGGCGGCCATTTTGAATTTGTCTACCAACATTTGGAGCGGATGTACGACGTCTGTGACTAGTTTCATTCAATTCAAGATATTATATAATTATCTAAAATACGACAAATGTGACTGGGGTGTTAGGCAAGAAGTACATATATTTTGTCGATACTCCAATTCAATCTATTCGTTTTCTAAAAAAACATGTACAGTGTACTTTGGCATTTTATGAATAAGTTATTCAAACCAGATTGAACAAACGTAATTTCTATACAATAATAATGCATACATTGACCTTTATTTTCCGTTTTGAAATTACCGTGTCTCTCGACTCTACAAAATTGGTTGAAACTCGGAGCCTGGGGACAGGCTCCGCTAATTTGATTTGATTCTGGAACGGAATAAGTGGAGCAAAAAAGAAAACGACTAATCAGGGGCCTGTCAGGGGCATTAAAACAGTGAATAAGGAAAAAGAAATAGGGCCAGAAGCCAATCAAACACAACGAGCAAAATAGCCTACCTGGGTAAAAGCCTAATAAACTAGGGTCAAATACACCCCTGTCTGGGATATCATCAAAACAGTTGTAGCTCTTCAGTAAATCTCTCTGGTTACCAAGGTATTTCAAATGCTTCATCCGTCTCTCCTTAGATCGCATATTCTGGAACCATACCTAGAGAGGGAATTATAATCGGTAACGGTAAGATTTCTATGAGCCACTACATTAGACAAAGATATGTCATTTTCACCATTGGTATACGTAGCCTCAGACAATAGACCTGTACCAATATCTTGTTTGATATCAACTTTTTCGTGTCTTTGAAATCTATTTTACCTCGACGTGTTCGGAAACATCCACCTTTTACAGATTTTAGACAAAATTAAAGTCATTAAATATGCACTGATGCTTTACTCCTCCAAGGAGTTGTAACTCTTCTCACTTCTTTTTAGTATAAGTACTTCTAATTATAGTGACTGCCATTGAGGGCAATAGTGTAAATTATTTCCCCGAGGGAATATCCTCTGTAATTCTTTCAGTATTCTATGCAACTTATAACACAATCCGTGTGACATTTCAACATTGCTTTTGGATTTTTGGAAAGTGATTGGAGTTAGTGCCAACTCTTTGTGTGACACTTGATACAACCAGTGCGTGTGTGAATGAAAATAAGTTATGTAAGGTATAACAAGGTTGGTATAACATGGATTGAAAATGGCATACGATGATGCGAGTTTAGCATATAATGATGCGTATTTCGCATAGTATGATGCGAGTTTCGAATCATATAGTTCGAGTATCGCATCATATCAATTTACGTTTCATTGGAATCAAAATCGCGTGGTGGATTTCATAGAAAATAGATCTCTAACCAAAAAGTGACCCGCCCTGTCCAGTATCGATAGCTACATATATCAATGACCATTCTTTGGAGGAGATATCTTTCATCTTTCATGAGTATTATTTCAAGATCCCTACAGCGCAAGGGGTATATTACAACTATTAATTAAGAAAGAACACGGATATTTTCCGAAAACAATAGAAAAAACAATGTGACGGATATTAACCCTCATGTCTGCAAGCTTGTTTTCATAACACTAAGTCAACACTACAGTACTTGACTCTCCAGATTGAAATTGATACTCTGCCAACTTAACTCTTGCAATTTGAGGTGTTCTCCGAGAAAATAATTTGCAATGCGTGAAAAGAATTTAAGCCAAAGATTCATTGCATTGTACTTGTTTCATTCCACCCAGGTGTTGTTTCCTAAATTTTACATTCCCGCTGCGCGGTCGTGCAAAGATTTGGAAACAACACCTTAAATGAAATGATTCGACACACAATGCACTGAGTCCAGGGCTTAAATCCTTAAATATTCCACTGTACAGTGCAAAACATACACAAAGATTAAACAATGGACATATTGCACGTATACAGTCCGATATTAGGGAGTTTAAGATTAGCGTAAATAAACCATTTACCTATACCTATATGTAGTTTGTTATTACACTAAGCGGTATTTTACCTAAGTTACAGGGTTTGCGATACGTAATTACCTATAAATGGCCGAAGATAAGGTAATTCGAAGGTAATTCGAAAACGTATGTTTTTATCCAAGAAATTATGTCATTTGTAGATCAAATATCATTTATTAAACTTTAATTTAAAATAGTAATAACAAACATTTCTCATTCGATCTGCATAGATATTAAGTGGTCGAACACATTCAATAGGGAGTTTAAGATTAGCGTAAATAGAGAGGTTAAGCTACACGTATTTAACAAAACTTGAACGTGAACTTCAATGCGCGCGCAGATAAATGACGTCAGATTTGTTTATTTCCTGTGGGCCAGCGTGAAGTTTACAGGTTTTTACATGAAATTATCATATTCGTGCAATTTACAGACGCGTATTCAACAAAGCATGAACGTGTACTTCTATGCGTGCGCAGGAAAATGACGTCAGATTAGTCTTCTTTCTTCAGGTAAGCGTGAAAGTTCCAGGTTTTTACGTGTAGATGAGTGATTACACATCGCTCATTACGTGATTGATTTTAGCTATGTTCTAGGATGACCCTGGAGCCCATATTTGACACAGACAATCTTGCTTGTTATATTGGTAAACCCCAATCCTTAATTGGAAATAAGAATAAATTTTAATTGGTAAATGACAACTTCAAATGTGATCGCTTGTTCATTCCGTACAATATAAATTAGCAAGACCAATTTGATGCCCGGGGCTTAGTACAATATGTAAACTAAACGAAATGAAATGACAACCAGGGCAAGAAAGGATCTAGTGTGCTATGATCTCCCCATGAACAAAAATAAATTCATCTGATTTTTCAAAAAAATATACTGCTTTTATTATTTCATTTATATATACACTAGAATTCAGCACTGTATTGATGAATGGGCCACTTATTAGGGCCAATATTCAATCATAAAGTGTACAGGGGTTATCCAACCGAGATGGTAACTGGACAAGTCGGACCCAGGACAACTCGGACCCAGGACAACTCGGACCCTGGACAACTCGGACCCAAGACATCTCGGACCCAAGACAACTCGGACCCAAGACAACTCGGACCACTTTTTGAAATGATGATATTTACATCATAATATGGGGTTTTAATTTTTGTTTTATGTTTAGATGACATATATTATGTACTGTGCATTCATTTATTGTGTTAATTTGATGAAATTGTTTTAAATCAACTTATTATTTGATGGTAGTTAAGAAGAAAATATTGAAGCTAAAGACCCAAGACAACTCGGACCACTTTTTGAGATTATGATTTTTATCATGATATGGTTTTTATTTTTTATTTTATGTTTAGCATGACATATTATACATATTTTGAATTCAAATGTTGTGTTAATTTGATGTAATTGTTTAAAATCAACTTAATTGATGAGAATTAAGAAGAAAATATTGAAGCTAAAGATCCAAGACAACTCGGACCACTTTTTGAAATTATGATTTTTATCATGATATGGTTTTTATTTTTTTATTTTATGTTTAGCCTGACATTTTATACATATTTTGAATTCAAACATTGTGTTAATTTGATGTAATTGTTTAAAATCAACTTAATTGGTGAGATTAAAGCTAAAAACCCAAGTCAACTTGGACCACTTTTTGAAATTATGATTTTTATCATTATATGGTTTTTTTTATTTTATGTTTAGTATGACATACTCGTATATACATATTGTGAATTCAAATATTGTGTTAATTTGATGTACTCGTAATTGTTTTAAATCAACTTAATATTTTGGTGAGTTTTCATGTTCGGATCGTAATATCAGATCAGGTGTTATATCGACGCATAAACCCTTTAGGGCTAGGCACAAAAGCTTTCGGACCCTCACTCCCTTTGGCCAGTTTGGGTACAGAACGCGTTCATGCCTAGCCCTGCGGGGTTTATTCGTCCATATAACGACTGATGTTCAGTCTATATTTCTTAATTAAATGATAAAAATGAGGATTTACAGAATACAAACACATTCCTCAATCTTTCAGTGAGATTAAGATTAAATTATCAAAAAACTTTAGGATTAACAGAATACAAACTCTTTCATTGATCTCAATACGGCATCAATCTTTCAGTGAGATTAAGATTGAATGATCAAAAAATTGAGGATTTACAGAATTTTAAGTTTCCATTGATCTCTATGTGACATAGGTCTTTCAGTGAGATTAATAAGATTAATAAGACCGCACGGTGGTGAGTGTAAATGAGATAATGAGATTAGGATTAAAATTATTATTGTTTCAATTCCTTAGTGATTTTCCAAATGAGTTGGTATTAACTGTATGAAAAGACTCATTGACACCTCTATATAACAAGTTGTATTCTCAACTCTCATCAAATAAGTTAATTGAAACATCTTGTTCATCTTTACATGTAAACACAAAATATAGATTCACAATATATCTAAACCGTGTCATGCTAATCATTTATAAATAATTCCATATTATGAAATCAAAAAAGTACCTAACAAAAACTAACATTTCAGAAAGTGGTCTGTGTTGTCTTGGGTTTATAGCTTCAGTAGCTTCTACTTAATCTTTATCAAATAAGTCAAATTAAAACATTTTAATCAAATTAGTACAAAATATGTATTCACAATGTATGATATATTTAATAAGCATAAAACAAAGACTAAAAACCCTAAACAATGATAAAAATCATTATTTTAAAAAGTGGTCCGAGTTGTCTTGGGTCCGAGTTGTCTTGGGTCCGAGATGTCTTGGGTCCGACTTGTCCAGGGTCCGACTTGTCCTGGGTCCGAGTTGTCCTGGGTCCGAGTTGTCCGGAAACCGTTGAGATGCCAAACCATGAAGCCTTTTTGTGTCTGCCAAAATCCATTTGCATCCTACACATCCCTACATCTTATCCAAATATGATATTCATTAATGAAACATAACAGTATAATCTTTGTATTTACAAAGTTGTATGGGATTTCGTAAGTGTAAAAGTTGCTTTTGAAGCATTTTTCTATAGCCATTTTGTAGGAAAAAATGATGAAAAATGATGAAAAAATGTATTATCTTTTAATTTGAAGTTTGACCTGAATCGATTGCAAACTTTATATTTGCACATCTGATGTGATATACCATTTGTGTCATATTGTGAAATTATTTAATTTGCAATTAATTCAGGTCATAGTGTATTTTTGGGAAAATCAATAGAAACCAATGGCCTCCATCGGAATCTGATGGTATCAACATGTTAAGTCAATAGAACACATCCAATGCCAAGTCAATATACCCTTGCAGAACTTAATGACCTCAACCTCAGCCAATGTGGGTCTAAACGCTTAAATTTTTTTCAAAGTATTATGTGACATTGTATTCTTTATGATATACAGTTAAAATTGAATCATTTTATTCATGGGGAAATCATAATGGAAAGTGCACTAGACCCTTATTGTGGTTGAATATGAAATAAATAAAAAATAAAAAACAAAATGTTTTATTGCGACAAGATTCGAACCCAGGCATAACGGACAAACGTGAAGTGCTAGATTGCCGAAGTGCTATCCATTACACCATAGAGACATGACCTTTAGACACAGTCGCCACATAAATATAGCTCCACGTCCACTGACATGGTTTCAGACGTGGAGCTCAACTGAAAATTTTCTTTAACGTGTACTTGAGCGTGGACTTGCGCGTTCAGGTTCACGGTTTGCATTTATACGTGTAGCTTAACCTCTCTAATATCCCACTTACCTATACCTATACGTAGTTTCTTATTGCACTAAGCGGGATTTTACCTAAGTTACAGGGTTTGCGATACGTATTTACCTATAAATGGCCGAAGATAGGTAATTCAAATACGTATGTTTTTTTTCCCAAATACTATGTGACTTGTAGATCAAATAGCATTCAATAAACTTTAATTTAGTTATAACAAACATTTATTATTCGATCTGCATAGAAATTAGGTGGTCGAACAAAACCATTGATGCGATAAACGATGCCATGTGATGATGCATAAAATTGTTGAATTTAGACATTTTTCATCAATTTTTGTTTTGCTCACTGTGAATGTAGAAAATTGCTCATTTTGTTTTATTTGTTTAATTTTACTATTTTGTCATTCTCATTGCTGGGTTATGCTAGAAATTAACATTTCGCCTTGAGTCACTGCCCCATTAGCAACACGTACTCCCTCCAAGCTACACCACGCCCCCTCTCTCTGAAGTGTAAAACAGTTCTTGGTGGTGGCATATACTGGCGAACAAACGCCAAACTCACCACCGCAAGGTTTTTACCCCAAATTAGCATGTCATTTTTATCATAAATTGTTGAATACGATTTTGTAGCCCTTTGCGTTAATCTTAAACTCATTTTACAAAGCGCATTACCTATACGTATCCCTAACAAACATACGGATAGGGATAGGTATACGTATATTTTTACGCTCATCTTAACCACCCTATTGATGCGATAAACGATGCCGTGATGATGCATGAAATTGTTGGATTTACACATTCTTCATCAGTTTTGCTTATTGTAAATGTATGAAATCGGCCATTTTCTCGTGGTTTTAATTGTTTAATTTTACTATTTGATCACCCTCATTGCTGGATCATGCTAGAAATTTAACATTTCGCCTTAAGTCACTGCCCCATTAGCGGGCCTACAAGCAACACCCCATCCCAACTACAGTAGTAGCTACACCACTCTCTCTGAAGTATATAACTTCTTGGAGGTGACATGTACTGGTATGTGCCATATAAGCCATCGCATGGTTTTCATTCTACAGATGTCATTTTTATCATAAATTGTAGCATACGGCTTCGTAGACCTTTAAGTTAATCTTAAACTCATTTTGCAATACGCATTACCTATACGCATCCGTAACAAACATACGGATAGGGATAGGTACACGTATATTTTACGCTAATCTTAACCTCCCTAATAATTGTTGACGTTTTTTGCGACAGGAAAAAATATTATATGCATGCGAATTCTAAAATAGCAGATGGATGGCCAAACCTGGATGACTCTGACAGGCAGACCAGTTTGTTTTGCTATCGAATCCCTCCCGGCGCGATTCGGTCTTTTGTTCAATTGAAACGCCTCCTTCAACGTGGTCAACGTGTCCTCTTTTATTGTAGTTCTAGGCCCCCTGCGTCTGTTGTACGTTGAGAACCTAGGACTCTCACCGTCATTTCCGTCGAGTGAACTGGCCATGTCGCTATCGCTTTCAAATTGCGACATCATGCCTGACTGATCTAGTTGCTTTAGAAATACGATGTTATCAACATTACTGGACATTCTGAATGCAAAATAAGGGTGTGCTCTGTTTGAGTTGTTCCAAAATGTCAGTTCCTGTCTTTGATCTGCATCCAAATCAGAATCTTCGTCTGAAACTTCAAATCACCGGGTGGGAACGTCTAATTTTGTGAAGGCCTTGGAGCATAACATTTTACTAAGAAATGTCAGTAATTTTTCTCAATTGCAATTTGTTTTTTTTTTTATCTTGAACATGAAAGCCACTTTATGTTGGAAAATGGAAATAATAAACCACCCACGCAATGCCTCTTCCAATCACATTGTTCCACAACTAATTACTTTGACGGAACGTCAATGTAACAAAATGGATAAACTTCCCGGTTGCGAGTTTTCTGTTTTCTTGAGTTAAACCTTCTTATAAGTCAAGTTGCAGATTATAATTTGACACAAAGCTAAAAATGTAACTTCTAGTTTTAATAAGTTTCTTCGATTTGGAATTTTAAATGAAGTTGCAATTCATATATTTAGCCCCTCGCTTTTGTTACATTGACAAAGTTCGCTATATTACCAATGTAAAAACTCGTATCCAGGAAGTCCATCCATTTTGTTACATTGACGTTCCGTCAAAGTAACTAGTTGTGGAACAGTGAATCATTATGCTGCAATAATTTTGTTGGAAGCCAATTCGAATACGAAATTACTGACAACTGCAGAAACGATTCTAAAACATCCAGGATAGCCATAGTACTGATATATACATTTATTATATCAACTCTATACACCCCTGTTTAGATTCACTCTTAAACACATTTATTTAATAATCAATATATCTATTGAAGGACCCTGAATTGGTTTGAAACCCGAGCAGTTTAGCTGCATCAGATAATCAAAACATTTATATCATTTACAGTATAAACACAAGAGATTGTTCAAAGGAGTATTTATTACCTATCAATCAATCAATTTTATTTTTTCAAAAATGGCAGGTTTAATCTTTTCTATTTCTTAATCATTAGTAAAATGTAAACGTTAGTGTGTCAAAGGATTTTAAAAGGAGGACAAATGCTGGAGATACAACTGAAGATTCCTTTTTTTATAATGGATTATTTTTTAAATTAGACCACTGCTGAAATCTCAAATAAATAAAAATCTGTAATGTTGTGTAATGCTCAACAAATTTAGAAACACTCAATGATGATATTATAACATATATTAACTAATTTAAATCGTTAGACTGTAACATTAAACTTTAAGAAAAATTGAACAGCATTCAATGAGTTATACCACCCACTTTGAGTTTGGAGTCCATTTTGATATTATTTTGCAGTTGAAATCATATAAAATGTGCTTGCTATCAAAGATTTTATGATATTTTTGCTTATTTATTATATATCTAAAAGAAAACTTCAGCAGCAGGAATAGATGATCTTAAACCTGATGTAACGAAACAATGTAACAATGAACTTGTCAAACCACTTTTACATATATTTGATAAATCGTTTCAAAAGGGAATTTTTCCTGATAAACTAAAAATATCAAAAGTAACTGCGGAAGGAAGGAACAAATTAACCTCTTTACCAATTATAGACCAATTTCAGTTCTTCCAGTATTCTCAAAGGTTTTGGAAAAATTAATGTACAGGGGGTATCAAAAAAACGCAACAAGTAGTTATCTCGTAAAATCACAAAATTAGTGATGACTACATCAATTTCATTTAATGTACCATAGAGCCACGTCTCCCCTCTTTGTAATGATATGTCATTCATTCACATGTGGTAATGGTTGGGTGAGAAATCCTTCCATTTGCACAGTGGGTCAAAATCGGCTCTGCACCAAGTTTTAGATATTGAAAAAATCAGTGCAAGGGCTAAGTGCCAATGGCAGTTCCCCTGACTTGAATTGTTGTGACTTTTTCTTTTGGAGCTATCTCAGGAGCATCTGTGCTCACAATTCCTCCACCAGATATTGCAAAACCTCGAGAAAGATTTGCCCATGGGCTGCTTTTCTTTGCTTTAACCCACACATGATTCAGGGCTGAACCGTGCATGACGTGGACAGATGAGCGCATCTTTATGTGCAAGGAAGTGGTGGCAATTTGGAGGGGTATAGGTCTAGGATGTTTTCTTGCAAGAGTATGAGTATGAACACTTTACTGTCTATGCCATACCCGTCACACCTTCTTCCAATAGCCCCTATGCCCCCTGTACTGACTTTTGCAATGTTTTAAATTTGGGTCCGAGCTGTAATTTGGCTTTTGGTACATTGAATTAAAAGGATACATTCAGCATTTCTTTTATGTTTTCGTCCAGTATTGCATCGGGCTCCGTACACTGACTTTTGCAATGTTTATAACTTGGCCCGAAGCTAATTTTGACCCACTTTGCAAATGGAATGATTACTCGCCCAACCATGACCAAATATCAATGAATGATATATCATTGTAAAGAGGAGACACATGGCTTCATGGCGCATTGAATGAAATCAATGCTGTTATCACTGGCTTTGTGCTTTTCCAAGATAACAATCTGTTGCGTTTTTTGATACGCACTGTATAATCGAATGAGCATCAATTTATCACTAAATTTGAAATTTTGTACCAATTTGGGTTCAGAGAGAAAAGGTCAACATACATGGCTGTTTTGCATAATATGGGGTAACACAAATCCCACAACGCTTAATCCATTACACTTGATACAGAAGAGGTTTGTGAGGTTGGCAACTCACATGGCTATACAGACCACAGTCAACCACTTTTTAAAGAGCTTAGAATCATACAAATACATGTACATGATATTTATAAAATCAATATTGCTGAATTTGTATTTAAATGGAAAAATAATATCAACAATAATAAAGCTATTTTCCCGACTATTTTAAAACCCACGGAGATTTTCATAGATATAATACAAGAGGCAAATTAAACGTCACCCTTCCTTAAGCAAAAACTGACAATTATGGCAAAAAACAATAGCCTTTAGTGATTCATCCATCTCCCAGAAGAAATGTCAAATTCAAGTTCTTATCTTAAAGGCAGAATCAAATCTATGGGGGTGACAAAACTGCAAGGTGCAAGCAACATGTACATATTGACCTACCAATCTATTCTTTACAATCTCAAATACAATATCTCCCAAAAGATTTAAGATATGTTATTTTGTTATAATGGATTCAAAGTGCAAAAATGGGTAAAAATGTTCTCCCAAATAATAAGAATGGTAATCATTCTTATAGAAAATAAAAAATCTTTAGTTTTCCTGATACAAAGTGTGCACTTGGGGGATTTTTAGAAAATGGACATGAAAAGGAATGACATAATCCAGAAATATTCTAAAATTGAAACAATTTCTTGTTTGGCTGCTCGCTAGATCTGATTCTCTCTTTAAATCACAGAACCGAAGAAGCACATTCTCTCAGCTTATTAATCATTGGTTGACTATATCATTTGGGCCGACCTGGGGGCTGCTCCGAACTTCTGAAGATTTAACAAAATAATTCTGATCGTACCAACCTTGGGGAAGTTACCATAATAACTAATGTTTTATAAGAATTACACTTTTAAAGATTGTTGACGTCAACGCGGTAGCCTGGCGTTTTTAAATAATAATTAATGAAGCTACACATTCATGAAATTTTCCCATGGTATATGGCACCTTCTTGGCTTCAAAAGAAACGAGGATCATGGATCCCCCACAACTTTATTTATTGTAACCAACTTTTGTGATAACATTCTGGTTTGATTCCTTGACAACATAATGATGCACATCATGATTTAACTACTATATGTACGGGTATAAGCATCACCTGTGGTGCCACCTGTGTCCACTGAATAAATTGAAATTGAAACTTTCAATACAAAAAACTCTCTTGAAAAATGACCCCTGTGTAATCCCAAATTAATAATGAAAGGTAATGTTGTGTGATGCTCAACATGCAATACTATGTTCAGTGATATTAAATCTACCAATACGATCTGTTTACAACAGTGGTGCTTCGACGGAGTGAAGTTATTAAAAGTTTGTCAATTCCTTTAGTATTATCTTAGATGGATTTTTTACTGCAACGACCCGAAGCAAAAATAGAAAACATGAAGACAAAAACTCAAATGACAGTGACACAAGGAAATCGTTTTAGGGTATACAGGGTCCTTTTTATGGAGAAAATTAAGTTGTTTTGTTTGTGAATATCGGTTCTGGGATGTAGATATTGAAAATATATGGTACTATGACTTTGGGTTAAGTTGACAAAGGGTTGAGATGATTTGGGTTGAGTTGACTAAGGGTTGAGATGACTTGGGTTGAGATGAGTTGGGGTTAAATTGACTAAGGGTTGAGCTTACGCTTCCTGGTCAACCCAACCTAAGTCAACTCAACCCTTAGTCACCTCAACCCCAAGTCAAGTCAACCCCAAGTCATCTCGACCCTCAGTCAACTCGACCTCAAGTCATCTCAACCCTTGGTCAACTCAACCCTTAGTCAAGTCGACCCCAATGATTTTACTTGTTTTAAGTAGGTTAAAATACAATATAATATATCATTAAATAGTACTTCCTAAAAATATTTTGATGGTATATGATTTATTAAAGGAATAATAAAAAATCATGGTAAAGGTAAACTTTCCTATTTTAATCCTATTTGATTAATGCAATTTCTTCCCTAATTCAAAAAAAATATTACATTGAGAAAATATACTGTATTATAGACTTTTTGATTTAAAGATAATTTTAGAAATGAATATTGAAATAGCTGTTGATACACTGAGAAATAATAATGGTAAATACGATATTCAATTCATTTACCCAAACAAAACATTGAACAGAAGAAAAACTGTAAGTTTTCAGTATTTATTATTCAGTAAGTTATTCAGATGATTGAAAATTTAAAAACATAAATCCCATTGTTTGTTCAGTCTTGTTATAAAATCTAACTTCAAAAAATTTCGTTTCTGAAATTTAGCATTCTAGTCCCTCATTCTTTCAAAATTCATCAATATCATACCATGAAAGGTACATTTATTTGTTTTTATGGTGGGGTAAAGTTGACTAAGGGTTGAGATGACCAAGGGTTGAGATGACTTGGGGTCGAGTTGACTAAGGGTTGAGATGACTTGGGGCCGACTTGACTAAGGGTCGACTTGACTTGGGGTCGACTTGACTAAGGGTTGAGTTGACTTGGGTTGAGTTGACTTGGGTTGAGTTGACTTGGGGTTGAGTTGACCAGTTACCGAGATTACTTGGGTTGATTTGAGTTGGGGTTGAGTCTACCAGGAAGCTATTGAAAATAGATGATAGTTATGATGACGTCTTGCAATCTTTTAACATTAGGCCCGGTCGATGGGATCACTTGGTGGCATTTGTTCACATTAATCTACTCTGATATAAAACTAGTATATCACATGAATAACGGACTCGGCATGGAGTTTTCCATTCGACTATGCTTTGCTTCGATTGGTATGGGTCGTAAACACTCATTCAAAGAATCGCTTTTGGTTCCAAATGTTTTAAATGGCCAACGTTTGATTATCTGATGCAATTGATCCGGGTCCTTCCCATTTTTGAATATAAATAAAACAAATCGGGGGCATATATTAGAAATAATAGGTATACAAACTATTCTGGACATTTTCCTTTAAAAGCCTCCACGAAAATATACTGTAAAAAGATGTAATGTATGTTCTCATCTAAAGGAGGAAATAAAGAAACATAAACTGTAAAAGGTTATTATAGAAAAACGATCTTTCGGAGAGTAGGACGTCTGCATGGGATGGTTTATTTTAAGTCCGAGATGATATGTATTTAAAGTTAAAAATGAATTGTATGAGATTATTATTTTTTCTTACTAAAATTTCATGCTCCGTGAAGTCTTCCCAAAATGAGAAGTTCTAACCTCGTGAAAAACGATATCAATAAAAAATTAAACGTTTTACTAGAATCAAATATCATCAATTACATATAGCTGGAATTATTATACAAATATGTACTTAATATAGCGGCATTGTACGATAGCCTATATACTGTCAGTACATTATATGTTTTAACATGAATCATACGAGGGGTGATCCAAAAGTCATGGACGCCCTGCTCTTAAATGCTGTTGGTTTTTGATAAAATTTCTCAAAACTCTCCAATAATAAAGACCAACAACCTAACTATTTTTGTATTAATTTCATGCCGAGAATATTTAAAGTATTTTTCTAGATAGATTTTAATATAGGGACCCTGCCACCCGAAACGGTATTCACACATGGCAACTTTCAGCCTTAAATATTGCTCCTATCTGACTTGTTTCGCAAACCAAACCCCCTAAATAGATAAAAATTAAGATAAATCTTTTATTTCATTAAAGATGCACTCTACCATAGGTTTCTATTAGTGTGGGGAATACCCGTTGAGTCACACAAACGCGCACAGGCTCCTTGAACCAGGCAGCCAATCAGGTTCATGATAAACAAATTCAAACTTTCCTTTGTACTATTACAATATTGAGAGACCTAAACACGCTGTGTTTATGTCGTTTTGTTCCAATGAGGTTCGGATAGATGTTTCATTTCAATGCGAACATATGATACCAAGAATAAAATAAGTGTCTGATGTTTTTTCTAAAACAATATAGAGAAAAGTATAAATATTTTTTCAAGCGTTATTACTACCATTCAAAAGATGACCATTAAATTGACGATATGTAGAATTTTCAGAATTTTTTGATGACTGGTTTAAGAGAAACGTGTGTTCAAAAAGTTCACCATATCGACACACTCCTTTTGAAAATTTTTACAGATTTTATAAGATGAATTTGAATTTCTTTTAAATAAATTTGATTTTTAAAAGGAATCTTTATTTTTCATAAATATTTTGAAAAAAAAAACAATTGGATGTTTACAAAAGTTAAATCCTGTTTTTTAAGCTTTTAGATTTTAAATAAGTATGTTGAGAATTTTCATATGTTTGTTCAGATTTAGAAAAATAAAATTGATTTTTTTAAATTTGTTAAAAACGTCCCTTTTAAAGCTATGTCCGTTCAATACATTTTAACTTTTCTTCATTCGTCTTAATGTTTTCTCATCTGCCACGTTGGGTTACACTGAACGAAATAACTTTCAGGGCAAATTCCAGGGAGCGGTGAATACCGCTAGATATTCACCGGTCTAATTTGATATGCATGACCAGAATAGCGCCAGACGTTCCATGACATATAAATGTATTTCAAAGTAAAGCTTGATAATTTAAATTAATTTTTAATTCTAATTTTTTATCTAAAAAAGCTAATCATCGCGTTTTGCGGCAATATCGATTTTTCAATATCGATTTATCCAGTGTATCACTATTAGCGATAACATTCCAGTTATCAAAACTATTGCTATTAGCGCTTTTTAGTCTGGGTCATACACTCCCCTCCATAAGTTTGGCAACCTTTTTTCCCCATTGAACTACGTGTTAAAGCCTCTTTACGTTTGAATTTTTATTTACTTAACCGGCGATGAAATAACTTATAATATTGATGGAAACGTAACTTGACTTTATTTCCAATACCTCCAAATTTTCTCAATTTTTTCCTCAATTACAATAGGTCGAAAATTGATGATAAATTTGATGAATTTTTGAAAATCGTCATTCCCATGTAATCCAATGGGAAATGGAGGGTTCGGGGCAAATCAGAAATCAGGATATCTTTTCAGTAAAAGATTCAGCAAAAAATATTTTTATATAGAAAATTGAACTTTTTTGAACACCAAGTGTTTAGTTTATTTGATGAATATTAAAGTTACAGCGCTTCAAAGTCATTTTTGAAAATAATTTTCCGCCTCCTGTGTTATTTCAATGGGAGAGGTTTTTTGAAAAACAATTTTGACTTTAAAGCCCTATAACTTTGTTGAACCTGAAGAAACATATCAATATTTTGTTAAATAAAGTTAGCAAATTCAATTGCCTGCCTAACTCGTATTTTTTGCAAGGACTCGGATGGATGGATATTCTGTCATATGACTTGCGGCAAACCTACCATTTCCCATTGGTTAACATGGGAATCTCGATTATCAAAAATTCATCAAATTTATCATCAATTTTCGACCTATTGTAATTGAGGAAAAAATTGAGACAATTTGGAGGTATTGGAATTAAAGTCAAATTACGTTTTCATCAACATTATAAGTATTTTCATCGCTGGTTAAGTAAATAAAAATTCAAAGGTAAAGAGGCTTTAACACGTAGTTCAATGGGGGAAAAGGATGCCAAACTTATGGAGGGGAGTGTATGTTAATAAAAACAGAGCATCGTTAAATTAGCATTAGCAGATGATCAAGGATAATATCGCCATTATGCAATATATAAATATAACGATAATTAACGATAAGCTCAATATTATCAAAGTCATCACTACTAGCAAAAGTATTGATAATATCATCTGCTAATTATAATCCATTCAGTCCTATGTTAGAACCAACAAAGTACACCTGAAATTAACATCAGATAATATCGTTATTAGCAATAAGAGTGATCGTTTTGATAAAATTGCTATTTGTATTGCAAAACAATTTAGGTTTAGAGTATAAGTTAGAACCAACAGGGCACTGTACACCTTAAATTAGCAATATTATCACAAATATCACTATTTTCGCAAAATTCAATTGGCCTAGAGTATACTCATATGCTAGAACCAACAGGGCACTGTACACCTTAAATTAGCAATATTATCACAAATATCACTATTTTCGCAAAATTCAATAGGCCTGGAGTATACTCATATGCTAGAACCAACAGGGCACTGTACACCTTAAATTAGCAATATTATCACAAATATCACTATTTTCGCAAAATTCAATTGGCCTAGAGTATACTCATATGCTAGAACCAACAGGGCACACCTGGAATTAGCATTATCAGATAATATCGATACTAGCGATAATATCAATATCATCAAAATCGCGTTTTGCTATAATCTATTTGTACCTTGTTTCAATGTTTCCATGTAGTCTTCTTTGCAGAGAACAGCATGAGTTTTTAAGACATGTACGTGGTCTCCGGGAAAAAAGTCCTTGTTACATCTGGTACATTTAAAACACCGTAGGTGGAAGACCTTATCCGATGTCTTGTGGACCATATCCGTTGGTAGGATACCTTTAGAGCAGATGTGACACGGATGCCCGAAACGTCTAAATAAAGAAAACAAAATGCATGGTTTCTCATATAAACATTATATAGTTTCCGTTAAAAAAGAAAACATTCCCAAATTGTCCTAGTTCCTATTGATACCTACTTTGCCCGAACTGTGTATGACTAATTTATTTGTATTTTTGGTCTATGTGTTTTTTTTAGGGAGTAGTCATTAAAGATATACATTTGAGCAATATAATAGTGATTACTTTAGTACTAAGTATGTTTGAAAAAGCTCGAACAATAACACTGGTACTGCACTATTCAAACTTGTTACCAAAACGGATTCGTTTCGGTTACAAAATGTCGGACAATCGAAGGTACGATTTTTCTTTTTTCCTTATTTAACGAGTTGTAAGCAGAATTCCAACAACGTTTTCATCAAAAACGTGTGTCAGTTATCATATGTTTAGAAAATCAACACATTTGCGAACAAATCATTCAGAAGACAATTTAGATCGACTTAATACCTCTCTATTACCACGTAGACGAAATGGGTTAAAAATGTATATGTGAACCGTTTTAGAGAGCTATATCTCGAGAAATCTAGAAAAAGGAAAAATCTTTCCGAATTTTCCGGCCAGAACCGTAGCCACCTTGTTACCGAAATGGATCCGTTTCGGTAACAGTGAGTACCAGTGAATGAGTGCTACGGCAATGTCCACTTTTCCGCAGTGTGTAGGAGTGCAGAAGGTTCATATGCATGTGTCGTGTAATGCCTTGGTCACATTTGCTTCGATCCATCGGCCGGCGCCCGCCCGATTGAGTGTTTTGTTCAATATTGTATTCAATTTTGAACAAAATACTCACTCGGCCGGGCGCCGTAGATAAAATCGGAGGAAATGTGACCAAGGCATAAGACGATGAAGAGATTGATCATCTCGATGACTTAAAATTAAACGTATTTATTATTACGTAAAAGCCTGAAATATCAATCTATTTTACATAATTTCCTCAATTTTGGACACACACTCTGCGCATCCTGACACATTCTTTAAAGCCTTTACGGAGTCCGTCTCGACTCAGCCTGTTCAACACGTGTGAACGCAATGCATTCTCAAATGCATGTCCTCTCAAATCCCGTTACAATTCTTCATACAGCAAGTAGACATCATTTGTTGAAAAAGATGGATGCTGAGTTGCTCTAATTCCAACTACTCAAGTGATTACCCTAGTGATGATGGCCGCTTTGTGAAGGCGCCATTTTGAAATTTGAAATCAAAACTGCATTTTAACTGATCGGTATTTGCCTTTCAGACCCAGCAAAAATATCTGAAAAATTCAACGATCCCCATGCTAAAATTGAAAAGCCGTAGAATTTTCTTAGGAATCTGAATCCGCAAAGAAAATGTCGACCCGAGTCTCAAAATATCGCTGTTTTAGTATCTCATGTTAAGTCAATTGGCCAAAGAAAATTACGAATTGTAAAAATACGAGATACAGACTGGACACAGCTAAACTTAATGTAAGCTTGCAATAGGAAGAGGACCTGAAAAGCTACTTTGCTTCAAAATCTGGAAACTAAAATTGCAAACATACAACACGAGATACAGACTATAATTGATGGAAGCCTACCATAGAACAGGACCTTAAAAGCTACTTTACTTTGAAATTTGGACAGAAAACCTAAGGTCAAAATCTAGGTTAAATTTACAGGTTTCCTTACCTTTGCAATTCTGACACTATACTTTCGTAATAGTCTTCGAAATTTTGTGTACTGATAGCCAAAAGTATGCTAATAGTTTTATCATCAGAGAGTGTTTCTACCTTCTTTTGAGACATGTTGTCCGGAAAGAAGTTCAAAACAAAAAGTTCTCCAAATTTTCTCAGGAATCGAAATCTGCAAACCGAATTTTGATCCGACTTCCGCTTTGGAAGTGGTTTCTAGACAACTCATCCCAAGACAACTCATCCCAAGACAAGTCATCCTTAAGACAACCCATCCCAAGACAAGTCATCCCCAAGACAACTCGTCCCAAGAATCTCATCCCAAGACATCTGATCCCAAGACAACTCATCCCACTTGTACAATTGATACATTATTTTGTCCTCTATATTATATATCCCTTTTTCATTTTTATGATTACAAAGTGATTTTTGATTACACACTCAATTTTTAATACTGAGTTTTAGCATTTTGAAATGGCACTTGAAAGTTATGTTTTACTTGTAAGTACTGTCGCTATTTTGATTAATTCTGGGTAATTCTAAATATATTTGAGAAAATAGAATTGAACATAAAAGTCATAAACATTATTGAAATTTGACAGTTTGAAATTGGCAATCTTATTTAGGATTAAGCCAAAATATTTTAAAACAAAGACTGAATTAATCTGAGAGAATTATTTTGATAGCACCTTGGATAATACATTCTGAGTTAATCCTACACCTTTGATGATCTTTGATTTAATAATCATATGTTTATCTTTATCCCAATCAATCAACAAAAATTAACTAAAACAAGGCTAAACTAACTACAAAATTCAAAAATATTAAGTAAATACAGCATGACAAAATATCAAATGTGTCAGTTTAAAATACAGAATGAAAAACGTAATAAAAAACAAAGATATTCCATGACAAGTGTGCTAACTGCTAAAATCTCTAAATATTTTTCATTCTTTCAAAAGTGAAAATTAATGAGATGTCTTGGGATGAGTTGTCTTGGGATGAGATGTCTTGGGGATGAGTTGTCTTGGGATGAGTTGTCTTGGGATGAGTTATCTTGGGATGAGATGTCTTGGGATGAGATGTCTTGGGATGAGATGTCTTGGGGATGAGTTGTCTTGGGATGAGTTGTCTTGGGATGAGTTGTCTTGGGATGAGATGTCTTGGGGATGAGTTGTCTTGGGATGAGTTGTCTTAGGGATGAGTTGTCCTGTTACCTTGGAAGTTATGGCGTTTAGAAATTTTATGATAATATCCCATGTTAGTCTTTTTTTGAATATGTTATAATCAAAGTGACTTACATGTATAGGACTTAATAAATCTAAAAAAGAATGTATTGATGATAAAACAAGGGATAAATCTGATGTGTAGAATAAAGTTGTGGTGCAATATAAACTCATTCTGCATCAGCATTGTGTACACGACCTGACGATTTTCACGAGTAGTCCAATGCATTTACAAGCAGGGTTCCCAGATTCTGGTTTCCTGGATCCGGGACAGGGGGTGTTCATGTTTTAGATAGTTAAACTGTTATAATAATTGAGAATGTATTGTTTATTATTATATAGGTCAACAATACATTTTGCAGTGGTTTCTTACCTATAAAAATCACGTTTACAAAATAACACCTCGTTTTTCTCATAACACTTTCCTTTCAGAGGTTTTCTACATTGTTGGCATATTAGGCATTTAGAATGAAACATTCCAGCTCCGAAGCGATACACAAACTTATCTTTGATTTCCTTTTCACACTTCGCACATTTTACATTCTTCCCACACTTAGATGACATCTTTGTGTACAGAATACTTAAACTCAGCCTGTCCGTTGAGATTTCAAATCTTACTTTTTAAGTGTTTTATTCCGACAGTTCATAATACGTCCATATAAAAATGTATTTTCATATTGTTTCGACATTCTGTAAATTAATATGTCCATTAGTTCACTACCACATACAGTACTCAAATGAAATGGCAACACTGATTTCACGACCGATAACGAAAACACACATGTTCATAGCAGGATAAATCGCATTCATAAATTCACCGACTTACCAATTGTGTTTTAACTATCGTTAACCTGCTAAACGTAAATGGTTTCGATATAGCTCTATCACATGCTAATACAAATCGATTCATTTATATACTAATGTACTACATAATGTAGATTGCATTTTAAAGACATGACTATTCTCCGTGGCACATTTTCTTTATTCGTTTTTGTTTTGAATTTAAATTTTCAACACCATAACATTAACTACTCACCCAAGATGCAACGTTTCACCACGTAGAATATAAGTTAAAAAATACCATTTTTATAAGGGAGTCCAAAAATCAACCGCCCTATTTACGCAAGACATGAAAACGGAAAATAATCATGAAAAAGAATCTACAATATTTACAGAATTAATATATGTCAGTGCGACAAACTTTGCATATATGAAGTAAATACAGGATGATCATTGTCCAAAACTCAATACATACATGTACATACTGTATGAACATGTATGTTACATGCAACGATCACACTTGTGTGGGACAGAACATGGGAAGTGTTGTAGTTTAGAACAGTTTTGGTACTGTAGTCCATGGTATGAAATTTCTAGGACGTCTAATAAAGGAGCTGGTAGCACACTATAGCGCAGCGATATTTGACCAAACATTAATATACCTACATATGTTCCCTAATAATTTTTATTGTAACCGTTTAAAATACTTCCGACTTTTAGGCTGAATTATGCCTGCCATTAACAGAGGTCAAAAAATTACCGAAAAATAAAATCCTAATTTTTCACAATTTGGATTACACAATGCAACAGAAAATAGTACAAAATGATTCTAAATATACGATTTAGGTTTCTGAGCTATGAGTTTGAGGTTATTTTTCTTATCAATACCAAAAAATTATGTAATCAGTGTATCGACGTATTGTATTTTTTGTCAGGTATTAATAAGGTAAATGCTACAAATGAATCACTTTTATATTAGAATGACAAATGCTTAAGTTATGCTAGTCTTTTAAAAAATGGGTCTCAATACGTTTTGAGATATGGACTTGAATTCAGCGGTGAGTATTATCAATAAAGGAGAACCTATTGCTCTTCCCTGACTAATTGGGACTACAGCTAAAATTCTATTTCTCGTTGTTAGATATAGCTCAGTTGCTTATAAAACAACCATCAAGACTTGGTCGAATTCATGAATTATTATGAAAAATCGTTATCATTATCTTCCTAAAATTTGATTGTATCCAGCGGTAAGGTCAAAAAAGAAACAGCCATCAGAAACTTGATGATAGCCACAAGTAACGTCGAGTAAGAATTGTAAGGCGTTCGATTGCATATTTCTCTAATTGATTATCAGACATGCTCTTGGAATATATGAACATTCCAATACCTCTGTAACATTTAATTAGATATAAATCGTACCTATTTGTTAAGTGTATTATGTTTTATAAAACAGGAACAATAATTTGTTGTTAGACCCCTTGCGATTACATAGAAAATTTCTGGTAATAAAATGTTTTGAATTGTAAGAAAACTAATCTGTTTCCAATCATAAATTATCTAAATAGACTACACAATTTTGATGAATCGGCTTGGCTCATATTTGGAAAATCAAACAAAATCTGAAAAATACACTTGCGTAATTACACTAATTAAACACCGACATATACATTAAAATTATAGTATATTTTTACGTTATGATAATCTAGTTTTTGTTCGTATGCTTAGAATAACGGTCTGTGTCTTATAAAATGTATAAAAGTTCGAATCAAAATATTTACGTTTTTTGACCCCTTGTGTTGAAGGACATTTTTCGACCCAAAAGCCGGAAGTTTTTTCAGCAAATGGTATTTTAAAAGAATCAACACATATACACCTCCATGAATATTGCTTCAAATTTTGCTGCGCTATAGTGTGCTACGGATCCTTCATATTCGGAAGTCATACCATGGACTACTAGCCTACATTTAATTTCAAGTCTTTCCAATTCATTAAAAGAATATATTAAAGACCCTTCAACCTGCAACCTTCGGCCTACAACTTACTGGGTGTCCAGAATTTCTTGGAATGTATTTGATACAAACCCTATTACGACCTTTGATCATGACTGGGTACATCTTTTTCAGAGCACTTACACAACCAATATTAACTGGTTTCACTCTTACTCATATTTTAACTGCTATATAGTCCATGACATTTAACTAAATTGCTCCACATCGTGCAACGGAGTATCGAGTTTGAATAATTGCTGCCAATCCTCCTTGCGTTACGTATTCAGTGTATTGACATTTTGATTTGTTTCTTCATTGATGAGGTTAACGGTATATTTGAATCAGTTATGTGTTCGAAGGGCATATATACAAATATTATAATCGTTTTTCACAACATGCGACATAATAGGTTTTGAGGAACTGTCATCCTCAGGGTTCAGTTATCGTTAAAGAAGGACGCTGCATCGCCTTCCCTAGACTACTTGGGGCAACGGTTAAAAGAAGTTTACCCGAGACCAGATATCGCTCAATTTAGTCGAATTCATGAATCTGAAATAATTTTGTACATGTAGACGTAGAGCTAGCCAAAATTTTCAAAAAGACTTTAATGTTTTGTTTAAGAACCCTATTCTCATTATTGAAAATGGATTCCACCAATACTCTCCCACATGAATCTACTGTTGAGATTCGATCAACTTGAGTTCTGAGAAAATGAGGATCTCAGCAAGGGTATCATTGACTTAACATGGAAATGCAATTGACATTAATCCTGCACACAATCCCGTGATAGAAAATTAAATACTATTCATTTATTTCCAGACTGTAGAGGACATTTTCAACAACATTTTCATAGACTCGCGCGGATCGGTTCGAGTTCTTTTCGATTTCCGTATACTCATTTACACTTCGTCAACATTACATCATTCTGTTATATTCACAGTCTTTTGGGAATTTTCAAAGGTACTCCGTTATCAAATATACTCATAATAATTGTAATTGATATTCGGGTGAGAATTTAGAATATAAATAATTTTTATAGTTTTTCTGAAGGGTGTAGTTCATGTTTGTGTAGCTTAAACCGAATGCGATTTCTACTCACTACAAGCTGTATAGTGAATAGCTCTTATTGTATTGCTCGATTCACATTTGCAGTTTTGAACAAAATACTCATTTAAATGGATCCGATTATCTGTAAATGTGTGCACGTTATCCATTTTCTGGCATTGGGTTTTGTGGGCGAAAATGAGAAGCGACTATTTTTGTTGTCTGTGTTTCGACACAATCTTGATGTTTTAAGACACTTAATAATTAAGATAACATATCACTTAATGAATGTATTTTGCATTAATTATGAAAACGTAAACAAAGTTATGTTTAAGATATCTTCCTATCTATCCGATACATGCAATACCTTGATAATTCAATCAGGGTCCATGGATATTAGCGTATATCATACCCTAACTGAAGAGCATTGTGATATTCACGTTATCATTGATATCCCCGAAGAAGCGATCCACCAGAACCTGACACGTGTGCGCATGCGTTTACATGCGTCAGTTTATAGATCAAGGAAGTCCGAGCTATTTAGCTTCCTGATACCGAAGTAAAAAATCAATGGCTTCTCAGTTGAAAACCCTGATTAATCGGAGCGTTAATCTTGCGTATTTTCCTCATTTGCATCAAAATAGGAAAGTCCAGCTTTTGTGAGAATTATAAACAATGTGTACTGCTATCTGTTTCCGATTCGTAAATTATGTGTATAATGATACAGCGAGAGATAAACTTTCTTTCATTAAGAGGCGCGTACTTGGTGCGATGTAAAAGGATTCGATCTTTTGCAGAGTTTCATTTACACATATAAACGGATAATCTAATTACAAGGAATATTAGAATCAGTTGACAAATACTAGATATGCGCCACCATTGTGCACGGGATACACAAGTTGCACTATTAACATGGGAATTAAAGTCTAAGGCCAATATCCCATCCCCCAGTATAATGGTCCTTTTGGTACCCTTCTCTTGTAAATAGGACTCTGTTACCCAGCAATAGACATGGCCCGTCAGTCTATATTCATCAGAGATTATTTAGATACGACTGAAAATGAATTTACAGTGAGTTACATCAGTAGAAAAAGCCAAAGAAGTGTGGCCATGAAGAGCAAACAGAATTTCCTTCCAAATAATCAAGGTATAGATTTTGCTGTTTTATAGTTTTTTTACAAAGCGCTAGTACAGCAGGCCCAGTTTAATAGTCATCAAAAAAGTGTCCTTTCTATAAATAGGACAGATCATTTTCATTTTCACACGAATTATCTAACAATTACTTCCCTCATATTCATTAGGGTACTTGACACTTGAAATATGTTAATGTCTGGATGTCTTTCACACTATTACAAAAAATAAGAACTATTTGTTTAGTAATGTTACTGTGCGGGGTTTTCAATGAATGGTCTACAAATATTCGTAATATTCGTATTGTCACATACAATGATTTTAACAGGTTCTTTACTATGTGTATGTTTAATACTATTTGTTTTCCTACCTTTAAAATCTCTCGTATCCGTGAGAATAGTTTAAAACAATTCTCTCATACGCTCTGGAGAGAATGTGTCTAAAAATGTCACACTGTGATGTGGGTGTTGAGATCTTCAAATAGGAAATGAAACGGAAAACGCAAAATGTCGATTGGAAGTCGTATGTATTGAGTAGTAGGTATCGGTTACTATACACTACATATGCAATTCTATCTAACCGAAAACGCATTGTATGAAGCAGTATGTCCCCAAAGGACAAGTGTAATTACAACATTAAGAACAATACAATTTGATCGATACGAGGATAACTTTACTTTCAAATGGAGAGAGTATTGCGATTCATTGAATAAATCGAGGCCAAAAAGATTTTTATTCAAATCATGTTAGGCTAATATTTGAAAACAAATTTGTTATAAATA